AAGCCCGCACGCGGCAACGAAGACCCAACGCAGCCATAAATAAGTAAATAGATAGATAGATAGATAGATAAATAATAAAAATAAAAAACCTAGTAAATTCCAGAGAATGCCCATATCCCGGAACTGGAAAAGGCTGCCTTCCCAACATGCTAATTATTTGCTCTGCTTCATACCTGGCTATCTTCACAACTTTAAAGCCCCAGTTTGATTTGCAAAGGTCAGGAGGTATGAGCACCTGCTTCGTGATGACCCGTGGGGCCCGATGGAATGGGTTCTTCTTAAAGCTTCTCCCTCTTGAGTTAGTTATGGTTTATTAAAATAAGTTCCAGCATGTGTGATTCCTGCATTCCAAGGTGCAGCCTTCTTGCTGAGAAGGCCGGAAGGCCCAGTTACCACGTGGGGTAGGCCTGGCAGGCAGGGGCCAGCATGACCATGCAGGGAGAAGGTGGCACCAGTGAGGGGAGTGACAACCCCTGCCAGGTGCAGGCTGGCCCTCCTAGCCACCTTCAAGTAATATTCCCCAACGAGGTCCTTATATAGAATCTTCTAAAAGTAGACTTTTTCCTGGTCAAGGAAGGGGAGCCTAAAAGGTCAAGGGCCCTCTGAATTCACATAGCCATTTGTGAGAGAATTAGGAGCCACCCAGCCCCTTCTAACTGCTAGAGTGGTGAGTGGGAAGGGCTGTTCTTTTACATGTATATAATCATTCTGTAAAGCAGATAGGGTAGCTTGATTGTTTTCAAGTGCGGAGAGCTCTTCATAAAACATGCTACTGTGTCCTTTTACTGTGAATGGAAATACAGCCTTCACATTAAACAAGAGTGAAGGATAAATAAAAATGAAATCACTTAGCACTGAATGTGCCAATCTAGAACTCTTACTCAACAGTTTCCTCACAGCAGAAACCTTTATACAAGCTCAGACCAAAGATGATTTGGCCCAGTTCCTCTCTGTTGCTATGGGGACAGAGAGATGATGGCTTTAGCCCTTTTGATGCTAACATACCTACATAAGAGACAGTTCCCTTCATGTCTTCACGTTTCTGTTATTGATAAAGTAAGCCTAGCCTTTCCTGAACTACTGTTTATGTCTTAATTCCCCTTTGGTGCAGTGAATTCCATACTCAGAATAAAACATTTCTTGAGCACTTGGTACATGCCAAGCACTGTGGGAGGTGCTCTCATATATGTTAGCCATGTATTTATTCCTCTATGTGGCGGAGGAGAGGCTATAAACATCAGTGATTCACTTTTCCATTGAAGTTACAGAGATGTTCTGCAGAGCAGCTCTGGTAGAGGGGGCTAGGAAGGAAATGGGAGACCAGGGAGGTGGGAGTCATTTCTAACATCGGGAAGTCAGGACCAGTGTACCCTAAGTCTGCATTTTCTGCTTTTTCAGGGGAATCAGATAGAGGTGAGGGTCAATTGCTTGTCCTAGTAAATGTACTAAAATGTGAAAATGACACACGGAGAGCACAAATATTAAGCATTAAGACCAGCCACTTCCTTACGACCGTTTTGGGCTTGTACATAGTTGGTTGAAACCGGTGGGTGTGTGTCTTGCATTTGTCCTTGATGAAGGTGGCAGAATAGAGGTTTGAGCTGGGTTCCAGGTTCTGCAGAGGCTCAGTCCTGAGTGTATCCCATCATCCACTGTCAGTGTGTGATGCATGAGAAATGCAGGTCCTCTGAAAAGTCATTTCCCGCCAGCTACATCCTCATACTTCAATCGGAGCGTTTCCTTCCAGAGAGAAGTTTAGAGATCCTGTCCTTTCCGCTGTTAATTCCTTAGACTCAGGGACACTTGAGTCCCTTTCATTTTTTAATATTAAAAGTTAGTTAAGGGGGGTATCTGTGACTTACAGAGTTGGGGGGATTTGTAACATGTCCTCCTTAGGAGAACCTGAGATTTGGTAGCAACGCATGTGGTAGTAAATTTGGAATTTTCTGTGTGAGTATATATTTTTTATAAATTTATGTATTTATTTTTGGCTGTGTTGGGTCTTCGTTTCTGTGCGAGGGCTTTCTCCAGTTGTGGAGAGCGGGGGCCACTCTTCATCGCGGTGCGCGGCCCTCTCACTGTCACGGCCTCTCCCATTACGGAGCACAGGCTCCAGACGCGCAGGCTCAGTAGTTGTGGCTCACGGGCTTAGTTGCTCCGCGGCATGTGGGATCTTCCCAGACCAGAGCTCGAACCCGTGTCCCCTGCATTGGCAGGCAGACTCTCAACCACTGCGCCACCAGGGAAGCCCGTGAGTATATATTTTTAAGAGGGAAACTGGGTCTGCACTCTGGTAATAATACAATTGGGAAAAGACTAACTCAGCCTTTGCAGATACTTGTGCAGTATGATTTATCTGGGTTAATTTATGGAAGATAAGGAAGTAATGGAATTAAATATGGAATCTCTACATATCATTTAGACTTACCATATTTTATTTCTAGACCTCCCAAATTTGTCCTTTTCTGCCTCTTGTAAAGATGTGTAAGAGAGCAAAATTTCCGAAAATCAGAAGAAGGGAAAGGGGAAAGGCTCTGTGTAATGGACACTGGCTATATTTGGTAGGTAGAATATAGCATCTCTAAGATTTGGTAAACTGGTAGTAAGCTTTGCTGTGAAAGATTAAGCACAGGCAATCTGCTCTTATTCTCATAAAGAGAATAAGTAACAACAGATCTAAGGAGGCCTGGGGGAAGAACACTTTTGAGTGGAACAGAATCTTCTTTTTCACCTGAGGGTTGAGCTTCCTGGCTCAGCCTCCTTCTCAGAGCACAGCTTGATTGCCAAAGGCGATGTGAAAGATGTGCTTGGCCTGGATTGGTTAGGGACTGTGCCCTCTAAGTGACACTTTTTTTTTTTTTTTTTCCTGCGGTACGTGGGCCTCTCACCGTTGTGGCCTCTCCCGTTGTGGACCACAGGCTCCGGACGCGCAGGCTCAGCGACCATGGCTCACGGGCCCAGCCGCTCCGCAGCATGTGGGATCTTCCCGGACTGGGGCACGAACCCGTGTCCCCTGCATTGGCAGGTGGACTCTCAACCACTGCGCCACCAGGGAAGCCCATAAATGACACTTTTTAAATATATTTTGGGAGTGAGAAAGGTGGGGGCTTCTTGCTTAAGACCGGTGCCTGCTGTTCCTCAACTTCCAGTGCAGACAGAGTGGTTATCTCTTAGATAGTACAAACTTGTGGTGTGAGAAGGGGCCTAAGCCTGACCTTCGGTAAACAGGAGGAAGTTAAGGTTGGATGTACAGGACAGAGGCTCTGATGCACCACTGTGATGGGGGATCCCACAGAAGTTACTCATCTCTTCCTGCCTCACTTAAAGTTCTCATCATCCAGACACGTCAGGATGTTCCAGGTGAGAGATCAGTTAAGAACATCCCTGGAGTTCGCATCATGGGCGAAGAGAGGTTTGAGCACTAAGGCGGTCACTTCTAGGAAGTGGTTTGAGGAACGTCAGGAGGAATAGAAGTAGACTGAGATCTGAAGTAGGCCTATGACGATTGGCCAAGATGCCTTTTCATCTTAACGTGAATACTGCGGCCTGAAATGAAAAGGGGGAACACAGAAGTAATGCCAGGCTTGAGGAAATAGTAAGGGTAGCGACTTGGGGACTTACACCTACCTGAGAGTGAATTAGAGCGGTAGTTCCATACATGGGATCCAAGGCCCTTAGGGATTCATGAAGATCGTAGTGGAGAAATATGAGCTAATTTCAATATTATGAATAGTGTAAATGAATCATACGTTCATCCTCAACAAGGCCTTACAGGCTTATCAAAACATTGGACTCTGCGTTTGTCTATAGTTGCATCGGTTTGCTGATGAGAAGCTCTACCTGACTGCTGACGTTACCTTGGGGTTTTCTTAACGTGTGGGGTGAACTGATGGTGTCATTAGGTAGTCACAACTGACCTGACGTCAGATCATCCAAGATGCGATTAATCTTAGACTCAAGGCATAGAGTGACGGCCACAGTTAAATGCAGTGCAGTCTGTGGTGGCACAGTGTTTGGGGGCCACTGGCGGAAGAGGAGCAGTGACCTAAGCCTTCCCAGCCTGAGCTCTTAAACTCTGCATAGCTCTCACTGAAGTCATTCAGTGAGTCTTTGAAAGAATGTGAAAACAGACCGATTAGCAAATTATAATCCGTTATCCAGTTAGAAGACCGTGCCCTGAAAACCTTGCACGTGGCTTTTCCTCATGGCCTATGTGGGCCACTTGAGACTCCTTCTTGGAACAGGCTCTTTTGTCCTGTCTCCTGCTGTCCTAGTAGTGGAATACTGGGAGCTAGGGTTAAGCTCAGTGCTTGGGCCGTTAGAGGAAGGGGTTAAATAGCAAGAAAAAAGAAAGAAAGAAAAGAAAAAAAGAAAAGAAAAGAAAAAAAGGAAGTAGCCAAAGAATAGACCCAATGAGAGACATCTTTGGAGCAAGGCTGGGAAGCTCACCTTAGATACCGTTGGCTGCCAGTCGTGTTCCAGGGAACTTGGACTCCAGGCCTCAGCTGGTTCTGCTGTTTAGACCATGGCTTCTCAACCCTTGGTCTGCAGGAACACCAGGGAAACCCACCGCTTCCAGCAGAAAAAAAAAAAAAACATGGCTGAGTTACTGTTAGTGTGATGAACCCATGGAACATTTGATAATGGTTGGCAGAGAATTCTGAAGCGTATCAACCACTTTTGTCAAACTTGGGAGGCGGACTTGGGCTAAGTCCGGAATTGGGATGTTCGCTATCTGTCCATTCAGTTGACTGATTGTTTCAGAACTGTGGTGACAATTTCTTATTTTCTGGAGTATTTCAGGAAGGGAAAATGTCTTTGCATTCTTCTTTGTATGTGCCCATCCAAACAACATAAGGTTTTTCCATCTCTTTCCTTTGCTGGCTTCATGGGTTTCTGTCTGCATGCCTCTTGCACATCCTCTCCCACCTCGGCCCATCTTGTGTCCTTATAGAGGGTCTCCACATCCTCCCTTCTCTCCTCTCCTTTCTCCTTCCCAGAGCCAAGCTATGCGAATCGTCCGGACGGTGGGGCAGGCCTTCGAGGTCTGCCACAAGCTGAGCCTGCAGCACACGCAGCAGAATGCCGACGGCCAGGAAGACGGGGACAGTGAGAGGAACAGCAACAGCTCAGGGGACCCAGGTAGGCCACTGCCGTGGGTGTGGATGAACAGGCAGGTAGACACACAACGTGGGGCGGTGGAAGTGAACGGTGGCCCAGGAATGGGGATGTTCAGGTGGGGAGCGGTCTGGTTTTAATCTTGAGCCGACCCCCAAAAGAAGCCTGTTTCCTCCTGGGTCACAGATTCAGAGTGTGGGGCTATTTCGCCGGCTGGGTGACTTCCTCCGGAGAGGTGGGGAGAAGACAGGCAAAAAGATTGAGAGAACTGGTCAGAGAATCAAAGATTTCTTTGGGTTATTTCAGCCCAGTGAACAGTCCTAAGGATCAGCTTATCCTGGCTAGATTTTTGGACTCTGAAAAATAAATTTCTTCTGAAAACGATTTCCTCCACATTCAAATTCAATTGTCTCCCCTCCTCCATCTTACCAGGACCAAGTCCTTAACTCTGAGAGTCCTCTTGTGTGTGTGCGTGTGTCTGAGTGTGTGTGTGTGTGTGTGTGTGTGTTCGTGCGTGCAGGCAATCAGTTCACTTAAAAAACATTTGATTTTCTCTGTTTCTCTCTATATTCCAAATTTTCTTTAAGGAATGTGTGTTACTTTTATAACAGAAAATTAAAGATATTTAAACTGTCAAACAAAGAAGCATTTAAACTGTATATCAGGAAACACATTTTAAAGGTAGAGCTGTTTATGCTACCAAGTCAGACCCCAAAGAAAATTACCATACAAAAGCACCTTCATAGAACAAATTAGAAAGAAGATAATTACAGTTATCTAAGTAGGGTTTTTTTTTTCCTATTTCTAAATTCTATAGTTTTATGAACCCTCAGTGTGGACATTATTCCAGTATCTCCAATCTTCAAGTCTCATTAAAAGTCAGGAATAAGACAAAGATGTCTTTTATCATCTCTATAATCTAACAGTAAATGTGGGGGGAAAAGTATGAGTATTAGGCAAAAAGTTAATATGGTTTATACATTTTTATGTGGAAAACCCATGAAAATAAACTGAAAGCTATTAGAAATAAAAGAATTTAGTTAAAGAGGTGAGGTCCAATAAATACATATGGATAACTATGGTTTTCTATTCCAACAACAACCAGTTGGAAGTCACAGTGGAAGAAAATATCCACTAAAATAACAATTTAAAAAGATAAAATGCCTATGAATAATCATAATAAAGCATATATGTTTTATATGAAGAAAATCATAAACAATTGGAAAGTTCTTGGTTGGGAAATCTCAACATCATAAAAATGTTAATTCTCCTTACATTAATCTATAAATTTAACATTACAATACAAATTTTTAACAGCAAAGTAGGCACCTTGGTATTCTATCATACTCAAAACTTATGGGATACAGATAAAAGAGTGCTCAGAGGAAAATCAAAGGCTTAATTATTTACATTTAGATGATCAATCATGAAAATCAAAGTAATTAAACGTTCAATTCAAGAAGTTAGAAAATAGCAGAAGAAATCTCATACTGCAAAAGGCATTATCGCAAAGTGGTGAAGAGTAGAGACTCTTGGTTTACATTCTAGCTGCAGTGGTCACTGGCTGTGTGATTTTGGACAAGTTCCATAGCCTCTCTGTGCCTTAGTTTCCTCTTATGGAAAAAATAGAAATAACAGCAGTGCCTACCTCATAGAATTTTTGTGTTGATTAGATGCGCAGATACATTTCAAATGCTGAGTCTGGTGCTTGGCACATGGTAAACACCAAATACATGTTAGCTATTATTATTTTAAAATATGGGAAAAAACAAGAATAGAAAAAATCCTGGAAGAGATGAGTGATGACAGAGGAGTGGCTTTCCAGGTACAAAAACATATTATAAAGCTATAATAGGTAAAACTGTGCTGATGCATGAATAAGTGCGTGAATGGATCAGAACAGAAAGCTCAGAAATAAACCCAGACACACATGTTGACATAGTGTGTGATAAAGGTAGAACCCCTATGGAGAAAAATGTGGAAATCATTAATTTTGAAAACTCACATGCTTTGACCCCCAAATTACCCTCAAATTCCCTTCAAAGAATTCACGTTAAGGGTAAACCCATACATGTATGAAATAATGCATACATAAAGTTACGTAAGCAAAGAATTTGTTATAAAAGCAAAAAATCGGAAATAGCAAGAGGGGATTTTAAAATAAATTATGGTTACAAATAATGGGATATTACACAGAATTGGTGTACTCTATGAACTGATAAAAAGTCATCTCCAAGATATTTTGTTGAATTAAAAAAAAAAATCAAGGTGTAGAACTGTGGATATGACACGCTACCAATTACTGTAGAAAAATATATACATGTAAATGAAAGTGTGTGTGTATATATATGTATATATACATGTGCACATGAAACCATATATGTGCCTACTCTGCATAGAACATCTCCAGAATGATACACAAGACACTGGTTACTGTGGTTCATTCTGCAAAAAGGGACTAGGTGGCGATAGTGGGAGAAAGATGTACTTTTCATTATACCAGACCTATAGCTGGCCATGTTGCTCAGAGAACAGAAGCTGATCTGCTCACTTCTGAACTGGAGGATTTGCCCTCAGAGCTGCTAGCTGGAAAAGATTGATACCTTTACGTTATTGACTGTTCTTTGGTAATGCCCTGCTCCCTTGTTGGTGGAGAATCATAGCTAAGCCTCAGAGGCTTTCAAACCCACGGTACCACTAGCAGCCAGGATGCACATATACAAAGAAATTCTAATCAAAAAGTAAAGGGCATTGTCTCTGGTGAAGCCATTTATTCCTGGAGCGAAAGGAGTTGGACATAGGGAGGTTACCTAGAGGTTGAGTGTTTGAACTGTGTTCTTATCACGGAACTCCTGTCTGTGGAGCTTGATCTAGCCTCCGAGCACCTAATCAGAGCTAACTTCTCAGCCATTTGCTAAAGAGATCAGGATGGTATGGTTTGGCCTTTCGGAGAGAAGAGCTGGATAGCATTTCATATAGACTATTCTGAGGGGTAGGAGGTAGGCTATTCCCTCCTGCAGTGGGAACTACTCCTTCCTTCCCCTTCTAGACCCTGCAGGGGTCTTCTGGGTGGGGGTGGGTTGATATGATTTCCTGTGATACTAGGCAGGATTCTCTCTGGGGGTGAGTAGAGATTCCAGTAGGGATCCCTTCCTATCCTTTTCTCCGTCTTGTCTCCCCCCACTCCTCCCCTAGCACCCTGAGTGTATCGTGTACCCTCCAGCCGTTGTCAATGCTGTTCCATCTGCCAGTGGTTCCTGCATTTACCCCAGGCAGCCATTCTACTTATCCTTCACTACCCTGTCTTCTGGGAAGCCTGCCTTCCAGCTTCCACTGTCCCATTCTCTTCCTCTCCCCTTCCCGAAAATTTAAACACTTTTTTCCTCCAGGTTCCTATGTTCTTTTCACTCCTGGCTGATGCTGTTAACATTAGCATTTAGCCCACTGTCTACCAGATACATAGTGTCCTCCTGTCTTCAGTAGAGTGCAAGCTCTGGGAGGGTAGGGACTGTTCCTGGCATAATAAATACTTGTTGAATAAACTGGTAAACATGGTCAGTGATTGTGGCAAGGGATGTGTGTCATTTTAGTCATTGTCAACAGCATTTATTCAGTGCTTACTCTGTGCCAAAATGAGCATGGAGATTGAGTAGAAATTTCAGCAGGGAGTGACTTCTAAACAGTCCCCTTGATGAAGAACGATGACCTTGGTTTGGGGGAAGTAGGTAGAATTGAGGTGATATAGCCTAGAGGGTGAGGCTGGAAGGCTGAAGAGAGTACTGATGGTGATGAGCGATGGTGGCTGAGGCCGCAGATAGAGGCCAACGTGGCTACGCTCTTCTGACTAACAGGTGGTGAGCGTCGAGATAATGGGCCCATCAGCTACATGCACCTCTCCTTTTATAACCTTTTTGGTGATAATTTTTTCAAATGACAGTAATATACGTGAGATCTCAGCTATTTGGCACCTTCTGTATACCATTCTCCCTAAGAAGAATGTAACTGATGTTCATTTTAGGGAAATGAAACATCTCGGTTCATTTTAGGGAAATCTATCAGGCCCAGTGTAGTTGCTCCAGAGTTTAAGATGTCAAAGCACTGAGTATATATCTCTTTAAGGAGGTCAAGCATGGGTTGGATATGCTCTCCATATATCATGTTGGCATCTCTGCAGAGTAAAGGGAGTGGTAGGGGCTCTCCCCAACTCATGTAAGGGAGAATCTGGCCTGTGGAGTGATGTGAATTGTATTTTTCAGGGAGATACACACACACACACACACCCCATTTTAAGGAATTGGCTCATGTCTCTCTCTCTCTCTCACACACACACACACACACACACACACACACACACACACACACACCCCATTTTAAGGAATTGGCTCATGTGATTGTGGAGGTGTGGCCAGTCCAAAATCTGCAGGGTAGGCTCCAGGCTGGAAGTCCAGGAAAGAGTTGCAGTTCAAATCTAAAGGTGGTCTGCTGGCACAATTCCCTCTTCTTACAGGGAGGTCAGTCTTTGTTCTGTTAAGACCTTCAACTGATTGGTTGAAGCCCACCTACATCATGGAGGGTAACATGCTTTACTCAGAGTCTACTGATTTAAATGTTTACTCTCGTGAGAAAAATACCTTCAGCGCGATATCTAGAATAATGTTTGGTCAAATATCTGGGCACCATGGCCCAGCCAAATTGGCACACAAAAGTGACCATCACAGAAATGAAAAGGCAGTGTGGCATGATGGAGAGAGTGTCGGACCAGCAGACTAGAGAAGCAGCTGAGAGTCTGGGTTCTGGCACCTGAACAGCTGGGCTTGAATCCTAACCCTACCACTTCTCAGCCGGGTGATCCTCAGCAAACTTTATAGTCTCTCTGGATCATTCTTATCTGCTAGGTGTTGGGAGATAATGCATGTAAATCAGCATCGTGCCTAGCCTGTAATACACTCTAAATACACATTAGCTATTAGCCAGTTCTCCAGTTCAGAGTCTCAACTACATGACCCCATCTATGGACAAGAGGA